TTCAATACGATTTCGTTGAAAAGTTATCGTTAAGGGCTTCGTTAAGTACGATGTTGCCAAGTAATCACCTTCAATTAAAAATTGTTTTAGTATACACACCTTTGACCGCCTTTTTGGTCATTTAATATTTATTTTCATGCAATGGTTAATGCATTTAGGTGAAATTTATGACATTCCTTGATCCTGTCACTTATACAACGATCTTTCAGCATCAGTTCATGCATAACATCGACTTTTGCTGGCACAACTTCCCATTTTTGACGACCTTCACGAAATTAGTCCTAGACTGATCTACGATCACGGCAATATTTACAAAATCACCGGAATATAATTGAGAAGGATGAAGATGAATCAACAATCGTCAAAGGGAGTTGATTATCACGAAAAAATTAGCGATGTTGAAGCACGTTTAAAATTTCCTTAGTTATTCCTCTTAGAAAATTACTTTCACGCCATCTATGGTATACAGATTGAACGAAATAAATTCGGAACATAGGAATATAATGTATTTCGGCTCAATTCTGCTGTAAGTGGTTGGCCAACAAAAGATTGTCAAATAATTATATTATAAAAATCCCATACTTCAGCGGGCTGCTGGATTCTGAACTCATAAAAATTGAAAGCTACACATAAATCTACGATTTTATTATGCTGTCCAACCAGTTATAGTCCAGGAAATGAAGCATTTCACCTCGCAATTTTTTCGTGCTGCGTGGATTGACTTTAAATTTAACAGAAGGTAGGTAATAGCCTAAGGATCAAAATCTATATCGAACCAAAGTGCGCCAAAGCCTAGGGGGTGGTTGCCACCCCATCTCCGGGGTGAAAATTTTTTTTACGTTTTAACTACAGGTTTCGATTAGAAAGGTGATTCTAAACAAAAAATGTGCTATCCATTTTTTTTATAAAATGATATTTTTCAAGTTATTCGCGATTGAAAGTAACAACTTTTAGACGAAAAAATCCACGTTTTTAATCGATTTTTCGCGAATAACTCGAAAATGGTGCATTTTATCAAAAAAATTGTAGAGAACAAATTTGTAGCTTTTAAGAAGACAAATACAATTACAAATACAATATCAATGTTCAGCGGTTTTCTTCAAATGCCAAATTTGAAAGATTCAAAGTCAAATATCGGGAAAATGATGCATTTTTGGAAGAAAACTCACAAAACCTTTTTTAAAGAGCATAAATAGACCTATCATAAAAAGATAAGGTCAATACCTCATTTTTTACGAAAAAAATCGAGGAAAAGAACACCCTAACCACCCCCATAATTAAAATCGATCTTCACCCTTCTGCAATTCCCTTTGTAGATGTATTGTTAATACGTCCAAGAAGTTTGACCCATTTAAAATGCATAGTTTTAGAAAAAGTACAGTTTAAAGCGAGAAACGATTTACAATTTCATATTTTTTACCCTTTTTTTTTTTAAATATGCCCGAAAATACTGAATATATGAAAAAAAACAAAAATTACCAAATTGTAGCTTTTTTAATGCTACACCGAAACGTAAAAAAACAATTTATTGTGTTGGAATATCGGGTATGCGGTCTGTTATTATTAAAGAAAACTCTTTTTTCTTTTAATCCTCTATATTTCGCTGATTTTTTGTCAGCTTCATCAGGAGACAACTAAAAATTTGAATAAAAGTTATATAAAAATCAGTTTAAATAAAAAGTGACTCACTTACAGATTTAGAGTGGAAAGTATTTAAACAAGTTGTTGAACATAATTTGTTCAAAACAGTACTGACAGTTTTTGTTAAAAGTACCTAGGTCACTAGTTGTCACAGCCATTTGATAATTATTTTGTTTGTATACCGCTTTGAATGCTGAAGTTACAAAATCTTTTATTAAAATTCAAAGAAAGCTTTAGCTATAAAACCTTTTTAAATCATAACAATCTTTCCACTTGTCGGCAATAATTTATATATATATATATATATATATATATATATATATATATATATATATTTATACTTCAATTTATTTTGTTTAAATAGGTAAAGAAATAGTAATAAGACTTACAATCAATTTAATTTAACAATCTGACGACCGGTTTCGCTTTCTGCAAAGCATCTTCAGGTCTAGATACAAAGTTAAACTAATGCTGCAATAAAATAAACCCAATTAGGGTGGTGTCTAATAAAGATAAAATAAACAAATAAGTTAGTTCATACAAATTATAGTAATTATGCCAATATTACATGTCTGTGGTTTTCAAAATAAATAAATTTGAATATATAAAAGTTATTAACAGACAAGGTAAGATCCACAATTGGTATAAAGTAGTAATATTATATTGTAATAAATTAATAAATGAGCAGATAAATAAAACAAAACAAACATTACTTACATGCCGGTACTCTATTAACTGATGGATGGTAGGCCATGGTTGCAAAAATCATGTATTGTTGATTGGAGAACTTTAATGTGAAAGTGAAACTTTAATGAAAGTTTTTTAATATTTGGCGAGATATAGCCGTTTAAAGCATCGATTTACGATCAAGCACCATCTTTTTCGAGCCCTTTAAACTCACCCCATTTAAAAACCAAGGGTTCCAAAAAGATTTAATTCACAGATCCTTGTAGCTATTAAAAACCTCTACAAATCGTTTTTGAAGAAACACTCTATCGTTAAAAATTAAAGGAAATACGTTAAAAAAAACCAGTTAATTTTTTTCCGGAAAATTCCATTAGTATAGTACAGTACATTTCGGAGCATAATAATCTACAAAACCGGTATATTAGCTAGTGGGGCGTTATACATTCGAAATTTTAAGCGTTCTTATTTTGAAATCCCATACAACAGAATAAAACATCTGCTCATATGTCTATGGCTTGGCAATGAAAATATCAGAGCAACAGATTGGGGATGGTATTCCAAAGATGGTTTGTTATTACCCGTACGCATGAACAAACAACCTGCACTCGATGAATTTTTGAAAATTATTTTTTGCCAATGCCAAACAGGATGCGGCGTTTCATATGGGTGCAGAAAAGTTGGTTTATACTGTAACTCTACTTGTTCTGGGTGCTCAGGTGAAGGGTGCAATAACAGTCCACCAATAATTGAAGATGAGGATGACATAGATCACGATGAAGATGTAATTGATGACGAATAAAATTAATATTATAATTGTTTTACCTATAAATGTAAATATTTTCAACTATTTATGTAAATGTATAAGAATATATGGTGCCTTTTTATGTTGATAATTTTTTTTGTATTTAATTCTACTTTTTTCAATTTATATCTTATAAATTAGTTTATAAAAACTGCAATGTTGTAAAGGGTGATTTTCAAAAGTTGCAAAATTTTGGCAAAAAATTGTTTTCACCTATAGCACTCATAACAATTGATTTTGAAGGGTTGAAAATGTATGAATTTGTATTTTAAAGTATAAAAAACTCACTATTTAACTAATCCAAACCAAATTTCACTCATCTTAAGATTTGTAATATTATTTTACAATTTTTGAAAATTAGGGGTAGTTTTCACCCCTAAGAACAATCAGGGTTTATCGGCATGACATAAACTATAAAGCAGAGGGTGAGTTGAGCTTAATTCCAAATTTTTATGCAAATCGTTCCAAGGTGAAATCATTTTCTTCGCATTACTAATTTTTTTATATTAATCTCTAATAAGGGTCGCTTTTTAAGGGTTGAAATATGATGGAACTTTATTCAAAAGCACGAAACTATCATTATTTAATTAATTCAAACCAAATTTTACCCATATTCAGGTTTAATATGTTATAATTTTTGACAATTAGGGGTAGTTTTCACCCCTAAGAACAATCAGATTTCGTCGACATGACATAAACTATAAAGCAGCGGGTAAATTGAGCTTAAATCCAAATTTTTATCCAAATCGATCCAAGGCGAAATCATTTTTTTAGAATTAGTAATTTTTAACTTTAATCTCTAACAAGGGTTACTTTTTAAGGGTTGAAATAAGATGGAACTCTATTCAAAAGTATAAAATAATCATTATTTAACTAATTCAAACCAAATCTTACCCATATTCAGGTTTAATGTTATTTTCTAATTTTTGACAATTAGGGGTAGTTTTCACCCCTAAAACCATTCAGCGCACTTCGGTTCGATATAGATTTTGATCCTTGGGCTATTATCTACCTTCGACTAAAATTTCAACTGGATACATGCAGGACAAAAAATTGCGAGGTTTTAACTTTTTTCGAGCTTCATTTCCTGAACTATTATCGCCTTCTTAGACAAACCCGTCTTACGCAAACAACTTTGTTGCGAGACAGATAGTTGAACGATATTTTATACCCAGGTATGGATTTATTTTTGTCCAAGTTTTATATTGGTCTACTATTTCAAATGCAGTTCAAACAGACATGTATTAAATTGTATGTTCCGTTTTAATTTGGTTCAATCTGTATACTTTGCTAGAAGCCTTAAAAATAACACATAAGCAATGAGCGATTTATTATGCCTGTTCGCAACAACGAAATAGCTCACAATGTGTTCCTTGCCTTTATTATCTTTCGTTAATTCAATAGAAACCTTTTCTCTTAACAAAGAAATTAGTTTCTATTGTCAACCAACCCAGCTTACTTTCTAAGAAAAGTTGAAATGTTGGTTTTCTATGAAATAATCTTTTCTGTCGAGAGAAAGTAGAAAAGATAGAAATAAAAACACACCAGACTTGTCAATTAAGTACCATTTTCGCGTGGCACTCTTCGACAAATGTTTTCACTCTTTTTTTATCCCTAGCTAAATATCGAAAATCGAGTTCATATTCGTTGTGGTTCCTGTTGGATGCGGTTGTCTCCATCAAACGGCGGTAAGTGTAATTTCAATTCACCATTATCCATATATCTTCTCATACAGTGACGACTTCCACGAGGGTGGAAATTTCTTTGATGTGATTCACACTATGCATCTTTTTGGTCGTTTGTTACTAATTTTCCTGTACTATTACTATAGGTTTGAAAGGGTTACGATGTGAAATAAAACAAAACTATGTTGCATACATACAATCTATTGGAATTCTTGCATATTCATTTGCATTATAGAGAAATAAAAAATACTGCACCAAAGGCGATTAAATTAAGTGATAAATTGGCATTGGCCAGTAGAATATCTAAAGGGTTTACCGTATCTTATCTACTTGGTCCCGCTAACTTGCTCGTTCAAAGGAAAATATAAAAATCTGAGTCAATAAAAAAAAGTCACTTTTCTGCGCTTACTTGATCATTTACAAAATATTGTCAAGATTAAGTACAAAAGCCTATAAGTCTGACTACTTTCTTAATGTATTTACTAATTTCAAGTGTCGTACAGAGTACAATGAGTTATCACATCATTATATGGCTACGAGGGACCAACATAATTCGAAAAGAAAACATCAACGGACCACAACACAAAGGAATTATTAAATTCGAATCTACAGTCAAACTGATATTCTACTGGCTCCATGTGCATGATAAAAAAAAGGGAACTGATCTTTACATTCGTCTTCGACCAATTCCATACGAGAATCCACCGTTGCTTTGTCCTCCCGACGAGTTCAGGAACAACTCGATATATCTGTGTTGCATGTGACCTTTGTCCTTGCTCATGGCTCTAACAGCGTCTTCGTGATTGACGAATTCTACGTCAGCTTCCCCCGAAGCTCGTCCAGAGGAGTCTTGAATCATTCGAACGAAAATTGGTACCACAGGCTTGAAAAACTGAAAGAAATGTAAAGTTTTTTCATTAGTTAACCAATTCAACAGCACGAAGGAATACTTACATCAGCAATGTCATGTTCAGTCGCTTTAAAAGGTAAGCCTCTCATATGCACGCAATGTACGCCAGCGCCGCCTCCACCGCCGCCGCTGCCGCCCCAAGAATCCCAGCTACTTCTAGAACCCATATCGCCACCATTGCGCTGACTGCTGCTCCAAGGCGAGGGCCGGTCGTAGCTACTGTAATCTACAGATAAAAATTTCGAATAAGAACAAACGCCGTTTGAGATTAAGCTTGAGGATTACCTTTGAAACTGCGCGATCCTCTGGAGCTACCAAAGCGACCGCCGCCGCCGCCACCATACCGCGGGTCTCTATCGTACGGGCCTGGTCTGGAACTGAACATGCTGGACCCGCCGCCCATACGTCTTCCCGAAACTCCCATGGAGTTTCCTCGAAAACTCATTACGGTGTCCACTTCGGACAAGCTACTTCGGAAAATTTCTATATATCTACACAAATGTTACGAAATAATTAGTGAAAAGTGTTTCGATCTTGGCATAGATGGTATATATACAATAAGGTAATTAAGGGTAACGTGATTTCAGTTTCGGGTCTTATAAAGTTGAGGGTAAAATGACAATTTTATTTTCATTATTTCCAGAGAGATTCGAGAAGAAGCTTCGATTAAATAAGAAGGGTCATTGGAACTAGTTTTGAGCCTCTGTATTCATTATCTGTCAATAGGCCAATCAAGTTAGGTTTTTACTCATCACAAGTGTATAGACGGGTTTGACAGTTGAAATAAGTAGTATGAGATATTACAAAAAGACTCTCATCTAGGGATTCATGAATTTTTTAGTGGAAATATTTTTAAATAAACAATTAAAACGTCAATATCATTATTTTGCTCATAACTTATAAACTTGTCTATTTAGAGATTTGACGTCCACAGACAAGTTGTTGAGAAAAAAAAATACACAAAATGAGATATACTAAATTAAAATCGGTTAATAAACAAAAAAGTTATTGCATAATAACCAAGCAAAACCACTGTTTTTGATTATTGTTAATTACTCTTTTATTAATCAATAAAATTTATTTAAATGTATCTGAACTTAAAGACCTTATCGTGTTCGAAGTGTGTGCGAAAGATAGGCTAGATCCGTCGAATAGTTTTTGCACAATTTAATTTGTTTAAGATTTTTTGAAAAATGCACAAATTTCTAAGGCCGGTCCAGATAATTTGACTGAATGGATCTTAATAATACGGGGCTTATTTTCTTTGTTGAGACATATATTAATATCCTATGGAAAAAAAAGTTAAAAAAAATTACGTTTATGTACACAAAATGATTTAACAATAAATAGCACTTTTTAAGCTTATAAACATTTACAATAACTCCGTACTATTTAGTTTAAATTAAATGGCAATAAAATATTCGGAAGGCTGGTTAAAAAACACAACTTAAAAAAAAAGAAAAATGTCCTGCGACCATTAGGAGCCGAGTTAGTCCTTTTTTTTTTTAAAATCACTGTTACGTCAATTAACAACATTAAGGGCTGAAATTAACCAATCTTTTAGAAGAAAAGTCAAAGTTTTTAACAAAATATTTAGCAAACAAAATAATTGAAAATTGATTAAACAGGAGTGTTGTAAACCAAGAGTACTTTGCGTTCCGACTCAAATGGAAGGAGTGGGGATTGCCGATTGCACTCAAGCCGCGCTCTAAAAAAAGTCGAGCGCACGTCGAAAGCAGATGCTGTTAGGCTGTTTAAGTTAACAACTCATTTTCCTGCGACTATACAACCGGTTTGTTGTATTGAAATATTTAGTGTTTTGTTTTATTTAATAATTGTTACAAATAATTAATGGTAAGTAAAATTCATCTGAATATTAAAAAAAACTACGTGTTGTTCACTGTGTTGTGTACCACGTTGTCTGAATAATATACGGTTAACTTTGAATATAATATTATTTTACTATTATTATAAGTTTACGTGAAAATGAAACTATGATATTATTTACATATATGGAAAAATTATTAAATATTTCTATTTTTATTTTAAAACATGATATTTATTGTACTAATAAAGATTTTAAACATTTATTTCAAAAATGTGAGTACACTGCTTTAAATTGTATACGAATGTATACAATATAATGTATAATTTTTGAAAGTTAACCAATGAAATTTAACGTACAGACATGTGCGGTACATGCATAGAAATTCAATGTACTAATGTTTATGAAATTATTAATGAAGAAGAAAACGATACAACAGATGAACAAGAGATAATTGATGAAATGTATTTAACTGGGTTTGATGAGAATAGCGACAATGAAAAAAACAACGAAATGATTTATGAAAGTTATAATACAAGTGAAATTGAAGATGAAAGTGAAGATGAATGTTTACATAGTAGTAGCAGTGACGATATAGAAATTAAGCGTAGAAAATTACAGTAAATTAAATTATTTTAAAAAATCACTACACAAAATTTCAACTTCTGTAATAACATAAAATAATTTATTATTTCATTAATAAATTTTTAGTAAACATTATTCAAAATGTTTATTTACTTATAACATTTATTTAATATACAAATATATATTTGAAATAAATAAATAGAAAAATAACAATAAAATATGACTTAAGAAAAACTTTATACATTCCGTAGTCATTAGCTGCTTTGTTTTGAATAATTTTACAATGAAAGTAAGTTAAATTTTATTATTTTAACGTTGTACCCCAGTTTAAAAAAAAAAACAAATTTGGTCCACTAGAACCCGAGATATGTCATTTTTTTCCAAGCACTCTATTTTGAAACCGTGCGCTCGAATTTTTTGGAGAGCGCGGCTTGTGTGCAATCGGCAATCCCCACTCCTTCCATTCTAGTCGGAACGCAAAGTACTCTTCGTTTACAACACTCCTGTTTAAACAATTTTCAATTATTTTTTTTTGCTAAACATTTTGTGAATAACTTTGACTTTTCTTCTAAAAGATTATTTAATTTCAGCCCTTAATGTTGTTAATTGACGTAACAGTGATTTAAAAAAAAAAGGACTAACTCGGCTCCTAATGGTCGCAGGACCTCTTTTTTTTTTAAGTTGTGTTTTTTAACCCGCCTTCCGAATGTTTTATTGCCATTTAATTTAAACTAAATAGTACGGAGTTATTGTAAATGTTTATAAACTTAAAAAGTGCTATTTATTAATAAATTATTTTGTGTACATAAACGTAATTTTTTTTAACTTTTTTTTCCACAGGATATTAATATATGTCTCATCGAAGAAAATAAGCCCCGGATTACTAAGATCCATTCAGTCAAATTATCTGGACCGGCCTTAGAAATTTGTGCATTTTTCAAAAAATCTTATAAACAAATTAAATTGTGCAAAAACTATTTGACGTATGTAGCCTATCTTTCGCACACACTTCGAACACGATGAGATCTTTAAGTTCAGATACATTTAAATAAATTTTATTGATTACTAAAAGAGTAATTAACAATAATCAAAAACAGCCGTTTTGCTTGGTTATTATGCAATAACTTTTTTGTTTATTAACCGATTATAAATTAGTATATTTCATTTTGTGTATTTTTTCTTTCTCAACAACTCGTCTGTGGACGTCAAATCTCTAAATAGACAAGTTTATAAGTTATGAGCAAAATAATGATATTGACGTCTTAATTGTTTATTTAAAAATAGTTCCACTAAAAAATTCATGAATCCCTAGATGAGAGTCTTTTTGTAATATCTCATACTATCCATTTCAACTGTCAAACCCGTCTATACACTTGTGACGAAAAAACGCTTGTTTTCTACTAACTTGACTCGTCTACAAAGGGAGTTGATTATCACGAACAAATTAGCGATGTTGAAGCATGTTTAAAATTTCCTTAGTTATTCCTCTTAGAAAATTACTTTCACATAAGCAATGAGCGATTTATTATGCCTGTTCGCAACAACGAAATAGCTCACAATGTGTTCCTTGCCTTTATTATCCTTCGTTAATTCAATAGAAACCTTTTCTCTTAACAAAGAAATTAGTTTCTATTGTCAACCAACCCAGCTTACTTTCTAAGAAAAGTTGAAATGTTGGTTTTCTATGAAAGTTCAGTTTCGGGTCTTATAAAGTTGAGGGTAAAATGACAATTTTATTTTCATTATTTCCAGAGAGATCCGAGAAGAAGCTTCGATTAAATAAGAAGGGTCATTGGAACTAGTTTTGAGCCTCTGTATTCATTATTAAGAACAGAACAAAACAGGGGGTTCTTTTGTTCTAAAATATGGCCAATTCTCAATAATTAACAAGGTATCTACGCATGGTCAGGTAATATGGTTCTTATTAGACATTACTGTGAAAATCTTAATTGAACTGTTAAACAAAGAAATCGTTATTGAGCTTAAAACTCGTCCCATATTTATAGCGATATCGATTCATGCTAGATCAATTTAGCTGTCTGTGCAACAGAGTGCCCAATATAAGTCAGGTTGCATTTTTTTACTTAAAATCTAATACAAACAAAGAAGAGATAACCCAACATCCCTCATTGTAGGGGGTTAAAATAAGGGGTGAAATTGAGAATTATAAAAAATTTAATGAGTTTTTGCTGCAAATCAACGGAAAATAATGATATCAATATTATATTTTTTAAATTGTTAATTGAATATTGATTAAGAAAATAGTTATTAGGATGCCATGAACCCGTACATTAGGGGTCGAAATCGGTGATAACTAGCTAAAAACAAGAAGACTAACTGAAAAACTTTGTGAACGATTTTCATGGTTTGCAATAACGTTTTTACTCACTGATGCCTGGAGAGAGGGTGAGTGGCTAAAATCCAGTACAATGGCTGAAAAACTACGTGTAGGTTTTTCGTGGACAATGAAAACGTTTTTGTAGATCATAAATTTATAAAAATTTAAAGTGTAGGGGGTTTCCTAATAATCAGCTCTCCCTATGGGGTGTAAAAGAGAGGAGTGATTACTTAAAACGATTCTGTCAATAATAGCATTATCACAATTGATATTTGCAGCGTTGCCCTTTCTCAACCCTTCACATTCAACCATGGAAGAGGATGAGAAAAATTTTATTGTGTAGGAGGTTCCTAATTATCATTTCTGCCCATGGGGAGGAAAAAAGGGTGAGTGGTTAAGATCCAGAAAATTCGCTAAAAAACTTTGTAAAGAGCTTTTCTGGGTGGTTAAAACGATTCTGTCAATAATAGAATTATCACAATTGCTATTTGCAGTGTTTTCCTTTCTCAACCCTTCATTTCCACCCTTCTAAGTGGGGTTGAGTGGTTGAAATTCAGAAAATAGAATACAGGAGGTACATATGACTAGAAACCAGAAAATTTGCTGAAAAACCATGTAAAGGTATTTTGTGTGAGGTGAATACGTTTTTGTGCACCATATATTAGAGGGTTCCTAGTTATCATCTCTCCCAATGGGTGGAAAAGAGGGGCAAGTGGTTAAAAACCAAAAATTCGTAAAAATCT